ATTCCAAGTCTGAAAACCTGCTGTTCACGTGACTTCTAAGCTACAATGATCATTATTCTTAATTATTCCACAAGCTGCACATGGTTTCTTTGTATGTTAAAGAAAAAAACTCCTGGAACCATCAAACACAATGCTTGGCATTATCTTTCTTTAAATCTCGTTCTGTTTCACTGTCTTTAGAAAAATTTTCTCTAACAGTGCAGTGCCACAAACACTTGAACTGATGATTCAAGAACAAGTTGGAGATACCCATTTTTTCTTTGCACCTGATGTTTAAATGTCATTTTTCTTACGTGAAAGATTTTTTGTTCTGCAGCCTTCCACCTCCAGATATCTGCAAACAATCTACGTGTATCATCCTCCCTTCTTCATTTGACTTTCTCTTTAATTCCATCAGGCCTGTGGTTACCTTTGTAGTTACAATATGATATTTTTGAAATAGCTTCAGCAAAATGGAGAAGTGTAATTATAAGACAGTGGAGTCTTTGTCTGGTTAATTGATTCATCCCTTAGTTGGCTTCAATAACATCTAACAAGCCAAGTAAATAAACTACATCCCCTTCAATATGTGCTCCACATGGCAACTATAAGAATTGCTTCTTTTCTTTCTTTCTAACTTTGACCAGTGCTGAAGATTTATTTTATTTTCAAATTATAAAATAGTTCACACATGACAAAAATAAATAAAACAAATAGAATGCAGACTTAACACATGTTAACATATTACCCTGACTCCTTTATAGCAAAGTTAAAAAGGAAATATTTCAGCATTATAGTTGATGCTTCCCAATATTCATTCATTCTTCTTCTTGTCTATACATGATAATTTTCGTGTTTTGCAAACTAAGGTACCTGGATTTCTATCTACAAGTAACATACTTAAACACTGGGAATAATTTTGAAACCTTTGTAAGTTCAAAAAATTTGAATTATTTGTAGGAAAATGGTTTTCAAATTCGTAAATATATATTTAATTTTATGCTGTGGTTCCTCCCATGTTTATCTCTTGAGTTCCTCCAGAGTTTGAGTTTTAATCTTCAGAAGGTCTCAAAAGAGGCTGGAGAGTTAGCTCAAAGGATTGGAGCCAATGCTTTGTGTGCAGGAGTCATTTCCTCCCTGTACTGCATGGTCCCTTCCCCTACTAGGAGTGATCTTGGAACACAAGAACTAGTTGTAATCACTGAGCACCAGGGGTTCTTGCCAGTCTAGAAAATAGACAAGATCTCTAAAGAAGACAGGCACTGGTTAAAAGTTTTCCACATCATGGTTCAGTGTATAGGGATCTTGTAATGACTTTTGAACATCAAAACCTTTGATTGACCATTGTTTCCTTGGGGAAGCTTCAAACATTGGCTACAGTTTTAAGAGCTCCTAGTTTTGGTCCCTACTACCCTATTTTAAATGACCAATTTGTGATTTTTTTTAATCCACATTCAGCATCAGATATTTGAGATGTAATCCTTTCAGAACATATAGATTCAGCTAATTTTTTAAAATTACTTTATATTCACTTACTCCATTCCTTACTACCTAGTTAGGTTGATAACTGTTTACCTCTCACTAAACAAAGAAGAAGACCTAAAACAAATGAAGAAACAGAAGAACAGAAAGAACATCTTTGTGCTTTTCAACCCCATAAACCTGTGTTTCTCTTGAATGTCTGTTTTTATCCTAAAAGGTCTCTGCTCCAGTGGATGTCCCTGATCCTGTTTATAAGACCTTACTATTAATCAATGATTTCCTTGTCCAACTTTGTTTCTTGTATTCTAGCACTGCCTTTTGTTTTTACTTTTTTTCTTCATTGAAACTTGTTGGTTGTTTCACCACTAAAAAAAAGCAGGAGAAACACTCTCTCGGTTTTAGTCTGAAGTGAGTATGTCTGTCTCTACTTTTACAGAAGAATTAAACTTCGTTACATCCTCAATGTCTTTCAAATTGAAACATTTTTCTCTGTTTCCTTCAGCCTACTTCCTAAAGCTTGTAGGAAGATCTAATCTGTCATCCTAATTTGATGTGACCTGGTAAATGTTTTTTTTTTAAATTATTGTGAGACCTTTATATTCCTTTTCTAAATTCTACCTTTAAAGGGTTATATACCTGGAGATGGCTTGGTTTCAATTTCTTGTTTAGATTCTTGTGACTTCTATCATTAGAATGAGCCTCAAGTTTGGCTTTTCTGAAACCAATTCACCATCATTTTTAATAGGGCATGCTTCTGTGACTACTTTGTCTTTTTTTTTCTTAATCTTTGGACATTTGTTATTAGAGCATAACAAAGATTCTTACAGCCAGACTGCTTCCCTAGTCTCTTACAGGCCCTAATCCCAAGAGAGTCTACTTTAAATTATTTATTCTTAGACAACTCCTCTCCCAGAAGACCTTAAGCAGGCTCTTTCTTGAGTAGAACTTTTAGAAACATTCCTTTCCTATCAATAGCCACTCATCCTTCAAGCACATTCCATGATCATGTCTTCCCATTCTTACAGCATCTAATGAATGTCAGGTCTTTCCTCTGGATTTCCTTCTCAGTCAGGGTATTATTTAGTTTGATTCAGGTTTTAGGCTAAGGAGATGACAAGGAAGAGATGAAAACACACCAGGAACTGTCAGACCCTCTGGGACTGCGGAAGTACCTATTTATCTTGGAGTTGCTGCTTCTATTCCCTCTCAATTCACCGGCTTCCTCTCCTTTGCTGCCAGTCTGGGAGACAGTCACAAGTCGAGAGTCTCTGACCTCTCCAAGTGAAAGAGTACATAGTTCCCGTGAACAAAGCTGGCTCATCTCACTCACATTCATTACGTCCCTCATTCTCTGATAATGACCTGCAGCTGGAGTATGAATAGGTATTGAGAGATTTTAAGCAGGGAGTTGTCAGAAGCATAATTCAATTAAAAAATATCTCTTATGTTACAAAAATGAGGGGGAATAAAGTAACTAGGCCATGTTTTAAATGATGATGGCTCAGATTAGAATCAAATATGAAAATGGAGAGAAGTAAATGGATTTTAAATATACAGGTTTCAGAATTAAAATAGAAGGCTCTGCTCTGGTAGAATTGATAATCAAAATTTCGACATGAACTTTAAATTCTGGATGTATAGTAATTGTTTCATTTGGGAACTGGACTAATAGTACAATGGGTAGGGCACTCGCCCTGCATGTGACCGACCCAACTTTGATTCCCAGCTCCCCAGAGAACTGCTGGGAGTAATTTCTGAGTGCAGAGCCAGGAGTAACTCCTGAGCATTATCACATGTGACCCCCAAAACCAAAAAAATCAATAGTTTTATTTTGAACTTCATCTTGGCATCCTGTGTCAAATAGTGAAATTCAGTTTTGCCCCAAGTAAGAGAGGCATATAGAAAGAGTAGATGAAGGACTTATCTTCATATGAAAAGAAATCATATTTAAAGCAACACTTAACTTGCTTATGAACACATAAAAATACATATATAGTGACCATAAGAATGGCTCCAAGATCTTGGACTGCACCAAGCATCAGTGACTTAGAACCCATTTGCTGAGCTCTGTAATGAACATATTTGAATTGAAACCCTGATCCCCACTAGATTTTCACCAAAGCAGTGTAGGAATTTGATTAACACCTAGGCAAGCCCTTTGTGGGAGCTTTCATGCAGTGTTCTTTAATATTTGCTATAAGGGAGACATAGCGTGGGCAAACCAAGGGAAGAGATGCCCCCAAACTTGTGAAATCTGGGTGTGCTTCACTAGGCTTTGGGATGGATGTTCTTGAGAAAGGGAGGACTTTCCCTAGAAAATCTGGCCCCTTAGTTGTTGATTTTCCAACACTAGGAACACTGCCTCTTTTATGATTTATATGATATTTTCCAAATTCTCATGACATCAGCTACATGATGGAGGAGACTATAATTTCATTACAATCATGACGGTAAAGTAAAAGGTTAGTTGCAGGAAAGTTCCTGACCAGTTCACCTATGTGGCTTCTGTGGTTCTTGGTGTTAGAGAGTGGCATCAGAGGTGGTAGTCTAAGATGAGTAGCAGAAAAGCCAAGTAAAATCTTGCCAATCTCACTATCCTGCCTTTAGTGCCTGTATCTTGATAGGTGTGCCCTCCAAATCTTCTAGTTCTGAAATTCTGTTTTGTAAGAGAAAGGATCTGGGAAGAAAATGGGGTTTGTGACTGTATGCCCAAGAGAGAGTATTCCCAGTGTCTGCTCTGCCTTTGGCATTGTTCTCAAGGGACCCATGAAAAGGATGCATAAGTGAGTAAACATTACCTAGTGTCTGGGCACCAAGAGAGTTTAAATTGTCATTATAGCATATAATTTGCACTTGATTATTCATTTAACTTTTGGCTTCTTTCTTTTCTCACTTGAGTGGATGTTACCTCCTTCTTCTGTGATTTGCCAAACGTGCCAAAGTGCTCACTCCTCCATCTTTTCAGAAGGTGTAATGTCATAGCAGTTCATTGGGTTCCTTCATTTGCATACCTTGTGACTTCAACTTTCAGATGGACTCTAGAAAAGTCATAATTTTGCAGATTATCTGAATTTCTCTCATTTGGGATCCGAGATAAATGTTTTCCTGGCATTTTCGTTTATGCCCCACAAGAATAAAAATTAGCTTTACATTCTTGGGGGAGGTGCAGGAACTGGTTCATCTGTGCTGAAGTCACCAGGGCTATATGCTATATGGTGCATGGGAGACCACATCATTCCAGGGATGGCAATTCAGGGTCAGCTGGGCCTGCCAGGCATGTATTTAGCCCACTGAGCTATCTTATTGGCCCAGAGTAAATCAGCTTTGTACCAATCAGAAGTTTTTCTGTGGGTCAAACAGAGTCAGAGATGGTGCATGCATACTGAAGAGGTGCTCTGTGTGGACATTGAGCTGCCCAGCTGAGTATATGTCTCTAGTTGCAGATCACAACCAGATACAAAGACAGTGTGTCTTAGTGCATGTGGGAGTGTATGTCACTTTGGGTCATTCTTCAACAGTTCCCTTGTGCTTTCTGCCAGGTGGTTGACCAGATTGACACCCTGACCTCCGACCTACAGCTGGAGGATGAGATGACTGACAGCTCCAAAACGGACACCCTCAACAGTAGCTCGAGTGGCACTACAGCATCCAGCATAGAGAAGCTCAAAGTGCAGGCCAATGCGCCTCTCATCAAAGCGCCGGCCCACCCCTCTGCTATCCTCACAGTCTTGAGAAAGCCCAACCCACCACCACCGCCGCCGCGGTTGACCCCAGTGAAGTGTGAAGACCCCCAAAGGGGGGTGCCCCCCACCAATCCCCTAAAGACCAACGGCACCCTTCTGCGCAATGGAGGCTTACCAGGACCTCCCAGCAAAATTTCAAACGGAGACCTCTGCTGCCAGGCCAGCAAAAACTCGGACAAGGCTCCGGGGCCACCTCTGATGCATAGACCTGAGAAAGACAGGTGTCCACAGGCCGGGCCGAGGGAGCGTGTGCGCTTCAGTGAGAAAGTGCAGTACCACGGCTATTGCCCCGACTGTGACCCCCGCTACCACATCCAAAGCAGGGAGGTGCACTTCCACAGCGAACCTAGCCACGGCCTGGGCAAGCCTCCACCCCCAGGACCTCCCCTCCCGCCGCCACCCCATCTCCCTCCTTTCCCACTAGAAAATGGGGGGCTGGGCATAAGCCACAGCACCAGCTTCCCCCCACTCAGACTTGCAACTGTGCCTCCTTCCACTGCACCAAAACCACAGAAGACCATCTTGAGAAAGTCCACTACCACAACAGTGTGACGTCTGCCATTGACAAAAGCAAACTTTTTGTTGTTTTCTTTTCTTTTCTATATTATAAACGTAAAATTATAAGTAATGAGCACTTTCTGCACAAGCAATAAAAAGCCCAAATATATAAATCCTGCATTCAGCAAAGTGGCATAAAAATTACTTGGTAAGTATGCAGTATGTTGTTTATATCTGGGTAGAAGTTATTTTAAAATGGTACCACTGAAAACCACAAAATAATGAAAAAGATGCATATATATATTTACATATATGTGCAAATTAAAAAAAAACTGACCCATCACAAACTGTGACCTATAGATTTCAAATATTTTTATTAGCTATCAGAGATGGAACTGATTCATTTTATTCATCCCAAACTAATCTATTAATAATTTCCTATGCTTAGCTTTGAAAAATGCCTTTTGGAATAAGAAATTTTAATACCAATTATTTTTTTCTGGAGCTGTTTTTCACTAGTTTTTTATTATTAAATGTGGAGAATACAGATAAGTTTATATTTAATGCTAAACAGTTAATCTGTGTTCCGCCTTATATGCAATGAAAGATGTTGGTCTATGATGGAATGTTCTATCTTTTATCAATAAACAATTGTAAATAATGGCAAAAGCAAAAAGTACCTCAAAATCCCAATGAAGCAGCAGTCCTTTGATCCCATCGTCATATTATCACAAAGGGATGCAATTCAAGAACAGTTGGGAAAGCATAGTGAGTGCAGTGGCCCAAGTATTCTAAGTAAAATACCATGATTTACATCAGAGAACTTTTCACACATTATTCTTTTTTACTTCCATTTTGATACATTGAGGACCATTTATTGCAAGCCTGGGGCACTTCCAACCCTCTAAGAACCTTCTTACACTCCACTTTCCTTCAGGACACACATAATCTATTACCTCCAAGGGTGAATGTTCTTGCCCTTGCAGCAACATGCCCTCTACTTCCTGAAAGGAACCCATATTTACAGGAGAATCGTAAGGGGAAATAGAAATGTACCTGGAACAGAATGTTTTAGCATTGGCTTTAAGTTGATTCTCCTTAGAATTGAAATATACCAGGGTTCCCAACATTTTTTCAGAAGACAGAAAATTGTTCTTCTAAACATTGAAAGGCCTTCAGGATAAATTTCCAGCCACAGTCACTTTTTAGCAGATGTAATCTGGGAAGGATTGGATGGTCTACCCTGAAGCTATAAAAAAGTTTTTCTCCCTACAGGCATGTTAGAATGTTAGAAGCATGGCTGGATAATGGGTCTATCAAGGGACTAGAGTAGAGGGGAATCATCTTGAATGGAGATTTGTTTATTGTAAAGCTGCATAAAAAGTATTTAAAAATATATCTTGTGTTTGATGTCAAAACTAATTATTGCTGCTATAGGCAGTTTGCCTTCAATCATAATTCTTTGTAGTCTTTTTCCGAACATATTATGGTGCGTTGGAATGCTCTTTTAAGCTACATCTTTTAAAAAGATGACTATTTTAGGCAGAATATCAAAGAAAATGAAATTTATTTCTAAGAATTTTTTCACATCTGGTTATATCGTAGCATTCAGTGGAACTGAGTTGTGTGTTTACATTAAAAAAATATGTGTATGTATGTATGCATGTGTATATATAAACTTATAAAATATGAAAAGAAATTCACATAATATAATATTTTCCTGGAAACTCATAATTATAGTGTCATAGTAGCAATGCAGTTTTCATAATCAGCCGGCATTGTTTTTGAAACTTATATTCTCATATTGGAAGCTCATATTTCATTAAATCAACATAAAAATGTGGTTTATCTATCCACATCCTGAAGATCTCAGATTTTCTTTCCTTAAATCTTTGTGAGCAGATTCTACATCATCCATTGGGGGAATTTTATTCCTACATAGAGGATACCATGAAGCTAGCAGTGGTTCCTTTTGAAAATGATGTTCCTGCTAAAAGTAAACCATAATACTGTATATTACAGTGTCCATTCATAGAGAAAGGTAGAACACATAGTTCAAAACCTGTAGTATCCATCCACTACTTTGGGATAGGAAAGGTTATTTTCATGTTAGCTTAAGACAACAATTGTCCTTCTTCTATGATGATGTTATCATACTGCTAAAATACAAAAATAAAAAACTGACCCATGTTCTCTTCCATTTACAAGTATAATAGTTATAAAAAAAATTATTTTTAGGTCATGCTTAAACTAAATATAGGATGTTTTGTCAAAAGTATTTTCAAAGAGATTTGCAAAAGAAATTTCTCACACTCCCAATTTTGTATTATTGTATTCGTACATCCCTCTCATTAGTTTAATAATGATCTAGAAAAAGTGCTGTCTGCTATTTACTTGAAATTGTTTTATTTATCTAAAAATATCTTCTGTTTGAATTATTCCTGCATCTGATTTGTAAATGGATAAAAGGAAGGAATGTATTACTTAGCTTTCTTTGAACAGATCAGTAGTTGCTTTTAGCATGATCAAAAGTTCCAGCTACTCACAGTCTCTGAAACTATGTAAGACCAGGTTCTAATTATATCTGTTTTGGAGACTCCATGCAGAAAGGCCTGAGTAGTTCCACAAGTAATTGCACTGGAAACCAAATCATAAATCACTGCATTAACTGAATTATTTTCCCCATGGGACAAATGTGATATAAGAATGTCAAGTCTTGTATTTGTTCTGATTGGGTTTCTTTCTCCCAGTTATCTACTGTTAACATATTTTGCTATGATATACTTTCAAACCTGCAGCAGAAGATTGCATTATATGTCCTTACATAAAATATTGGTGATTTCCATGAAAGGGAAGGATTTCTATTGAATGTGTGAGCTAATGATTTATGAAAAATGAAATTCCACAAGTGATTATATATGTATTTATGTAGCATATATATTTTAATTGGGTTGATTACACAGGATCTGATTATGAATGGATACCACAGAAAAATCATATGATGTTGTATGTTATTGTAGCAATGCATTGGGATTTTTTGAGTAAATATTTGGGTGTTTAGGAGCATTCTGGTTGCCTGGTTCTGAGACTATGAAAGCTGTGACACAGCCATTAAGTTACTCAGCAGAGCTGGACATAAAACTCCAGGCCCCATGTCTTTCTGGGGCAACAACTCTATCGTGCTTCACTTCCCCAGCTGCTCTAGGATTTCACTCTGGTCCTTTTGGAAAAGTCTAAAGTAGGAAATAAAGTGGCTTTGCAAATTAAGCCACTATATTTAAAAGGCAATTAAGTCAACAAAGGTTATAGAATTGTGTGGAGGCCAATGAAAAACAAATAGGAAATACTCCTAATTGTTTATGACTTCTAGACTGATCAAATGTTTAGGTAAATTCATATTACCAAGTACTTCCTGATACTCTCCATCTCTTAGAGTTGCTTTAAATCACCTGCAGATGTCTAAAATAGTCACCAGTATCCTGAGTTCCAACTACCTGGGATCTTGGTTTCAATATTTTGTCAGAACTGACCCCTAGTCCCCCACAATCTCTCCCCAAAACATCACCATTTAATTGTTTTTCATGCCTCCAAGCTTTGTACATATTTTCTGTATTCGAGGGGTTATTTTGACGCTTAGAAGGGGTTACCTAATGCTGTTTTGACATTCTTAATATGTGTGATCTTTGCATAATATGAAAGGGATTTCAGGCAATTTAGCTTCCGTCTAAAATGAATGAGCTGCTGAATTATGCAAACCTCATTTTCTCATGTATTATTCCAGCAACTTCACTTTTCACTATTTTTTTTCCATTCTAAGATCAAAGGATGTCTGCTATTTCTATAAGGGGAGGGGGACATCCTAAGAAGTTCTGACTTCATAGTAATATTGCCATTTGACACTAAGTATGTCACTTCCATTACTGGTGTTTAATTTGTGAATTTCATCTATTCAACAATGACCCCAGGAGCAAAAATCATAATAGATTCACTCTGTGGAACCACTGAAAACCTGGGCCCTAGAGCTCTCTCCAATAAAAGTGTTTTAATCGATTTCATTATTAGGCCTCTAGCATCATTCAGCAATTCAGACTGTCTGGCTGTTTGGTCCTACCTACAGTCTCATCAGGTGTCCTCGTCCCAGACCCCCACAACTGAAGAGGGGACACTGGGGACTCTATTTTCTGCCTTTATTTCAACACTTTAGACTTATTTGGAAAGTAGTTTTTCTGCCCAAAATCAGTGAGATAAAATTGACATTTAATAAAATGATGAATGAGTTTTAAGGTAACTCTTAGCTACCATACTTTAATTCTGAGAATACTGACCAATGTACAGTTTATAGTTCAGCAGTTTTGACCTTTCATGTACCAAATTTCTGAAATAAAGAAGTTTTTGTAAATTTAGTTACTGTACTAAGAATGAACACTTTTAGACTAACAAGTTTATTTTAAGTCACATTTATTCAGAACTGTTAAAGAAATTTTTAATTTCTACAACAGAAATTTCTACTACAGATTTTAGGTCATTGATGTTAACTATGGCATATCTTTGTAATGTTAATTTAGAGGGTAGGTCAGTGTATGAGGATAAAAGTATCAATTTGAAACTTTAAGTGTAGATTAGGACTCAGTTTCTCCAGCCCATATTTTTCTGACCAAAGAACAAAGCCAGATCTGGAGCATGTTTTTATCACATTCAAATTAATAATGCCCTACTTCCTCCTTCTAGATTCTTGAGTTACTATTGCCTTTCCTCCATCTCCACTCTGTGTAAAGGCAACTGACTTATTATTGATTTATAGTTGACATGTGACATGCATGTTAATTCCCACAGATACAAGTTGTGATGACTTGATACTTATATACCCTGTTAAAGAATCCTCACAATTCATATCATTAACATTCATCTATTACAGGTTCAAGACAACATTATGCATAAGCCTTTTGCAACTTTCAAATATACAGTTATCATTGCTCTTAAATATAGTCTTCAGACTGTCATGATCACAATTACGATCATCCTGTTGTTTGTTGATTGCCTCGAGCAGGCAACAGTAATGTCTCCTTCTTCGTAGCCCTGAGATTTTAAAAAAGCCATATTCAACGCTCTTTCAGGGCTAGGAGAATGAGACCTATCATTGTTACTGGTATTTGGCATATTGAGTACGACACTGGAAGTTTGCCAGACTTTGCCGTGCAAGCAGGATACTTTCGGTAGCCTGCCAGGTTCTCTAAAGTAAAAACGAGATAATAAGATATTGCACAGCCACGAATGCGACCTCACACTTCTGGGAGCTGGGTTTTATATTCTCTGGGTCTTGGCCGTTGATGGGATCACCTAGCGCTGGCAGCAGCTGGTGTGTGTAATGCCTACCTACTGGAAGATGAGGAATCTGGGTGGAGAAGGCCCAGTCCCAATCCGAGCAGGGTTGGAGATCTCAGCCCCGGAACCCGCATGCCGGAGTTCCTCTGCCAGTTCCTTCATGCATGAGGCTTGTCTGGATGTGTGGAGAGTGGTCTCAGCATGGCTATGGCTGGTTCTGGAGGTCTTTGGCTGCCAGCGCTCTGCTGGGGGCGGGGAGGGAAACTCAACCCACCTCCCTCCAAGGGGCCCTGGTGAGGACAGCCAGGAGCAGGGGCAGGAGACTCTGCCCTTCAGATTGTATACAATACATTCTTGTAATATCTGTTTCATAATCAATTTTGTATCTTTTTACCACTCCCTCACCTAATTTTCTCC